GGGGGGGGGGGGGGGGGGGTGGCTGCATCGCCGCCGCTGTGGCTCTTCGTCTCTCTCCGGCAGCAAAGCGTCTTCACTGCTCTACGTACGCACGCCCTCTTCCCCCCAATACCACTTGTCCGTGGATCCACGCGTGACGTCAGGGGCAATTTTTCAAAGAGCAAGAGGCAGAGGGGTTCGAGGTACTACCTCTACTGCTGCTGCTGATGCTGATGATGATGACGATGCTGCCGTATGTTTTTCACCCGGGAACGAAAAACAAACATGTTACTCACCATCTCTCGTCGTCAGTACACATGACTGCAGATGTACGCTGCGTTCGTTTCGACAGATAGGCGGAAAACCAGACCTTAATGTAAAGAGAAGGAGTGGACCAACACACCGACCACCCCGACCGACTGAGAGCTGGATATGCATACGCATCATATGCGCAAACATGAAAGTCTCTCCAACAACAGCAACATCAACCCGAATTTAAACCTTTTTTTTTCACCCACCCCCCCCCCCCGCCAAAACCGTTCCGGCTGCGCTTGTTCACTTTTGCCAGGCACTTTAATTTCAAGAGAGCACGACGAAGAGCAAAAGAGCCTGGAAAAGGGAAGGAAAATCTGGCGCCATGATCGACATATCCCTCGCTCCTCCCTTCTTACCGGCTCTTGAGGCAGAAGCGTGAGCAAAAGTTCTTGTATGAGCCTGGCAAAACGCCTGGGATAGATCACCTTCTGTTATCGTGCGTGTGTGACTTTTATCTTCAACCGGAGCGAGAGTCGGGGAGTACTTGTAGGTATTGGTGTAGTCTACAACTAATTATTATGGCGAGTTACAGGAGTTCAGGATATTTGTGCGTGGTGCTCTTCTTGGTGCACCTGCTAGCAGCGATCGATGTAGAAGCTTTCCTGCTGCGGCCACCAGCACATCAGCAACAGAACCGACGAGTTAGCACCGAGCTGGGTGCTGCTCAGAGTCAAAGGTGAAGCCCGTGTTTTGTGTGCTCCTTTGGTCTCGTTGCTGCGTGCACAGCAGTTCGACGTTGCCCCGCGCTATCCTATGCCTCATTATGTCTGTGCATGCTAGCGAATCTCCGAGTTTTCCATGGCCACCGCCGCTCCGTTGTACCCGCCGCTGGTGCCATCTTGTCGGCCCTTGTATTGCAATCATCGGATGTACTCAACGGTGTTTGGTGTCTCTGAGGGTGGACGGGCGGGGGGCGATGCTGGCTTGCATGCGTTGAGGTTTAGATGGAGCGTTCTCAACGTTCTGCTTTTGTTTCCTCCCCCTCCCTAATGTTCTCCGCGTGCCTGGAATGAAATATGGCAGCATCACCCACTACCGGAGGACGTACCATAACTTCCGCCTGGGTAAGTCGCAAGGAGCGAAGGGCGAAACCAACCAGTTCCATGTGGAGCCCGACTTGCCCGCCGTCGATGAAGAACTCCTCGAACAGGAGACGTTCTTCTCGCTGTCCGGGTCCATTACCAAGGTGTGTGCGCGCATGTTGCAAAAAGTCACGGACCACCCACGTGGAAACAAACCAGCACAAGACTTGACTTGGCAGTTCGTGTTGAAGTGCGCAATCCTTTAAAACAGCAGTGCAAGTTTAGTGGCTAACTCGCCGGCCGGATCTAATCCACATGAACTAGTTCGAGGCTTGTAATCTCTTTGCAAAGGACTCCGTTGCTGTCGAGATGGGCAGATGAACAACAGCAGTTCGGGAGAAAAAAATGTATCACGTCTCCTGTTTTTGTTCACAAACGGTAAACGAAGTTGCAACTTACACTTTCCGACTTCCGAAAGGCTTGTGATCCGTGAATCACCGAGACCCCGGTTCCTGATCAGTTCCTCGCAGGACGGCCCACCAACTATAGTATGTATACATGAGCCTGGGCAGATGTTTGACGCTGCGTGAAGCACTGCCAAATTGCGGCGGGGCGCACATCCACAGCATGCCCATCTCGAAAGAGAGAATCATGAACCATTTTCTGTTGGCAATCTCGAAACCATGATATGCCAGTAAAGTTACCTACAAGTAGTCGCGATCGCAGTATGTGCGTCCCTGTGCTGTTGGGTAAAGACGGCGCCAAGACATGAACATTGCGTGTGTGCATGCGCTAGCGCGTAAGTACCGCTGTAGGGCCAATCCAACCATATTGATGGATCGCACGGTTGCTGTTGTACTGCAGTATATCCAATGTTAATGTTTCCATCTCGCCTCTCATCGACGTACATTGTTAGCAACTTCAACGAGTACCTGCCGGCCCTATTGGGAAGCGAAGACGTGCCGCTCGTGACGACACGTCCCGCACTGCAGTCCTGGGTGCTGCAATTTCAGCAGCATACCATACCAAAATTGCTGTATACATAGCGGTTTGTTGTTATAGCACCTGAAGCCGGCCGGTGTATTCATACTTGTTGATAACGATACCGTTCTTTGCGTTCCCGCTCGCCACCGCTCATGATGGTTTTGGTCGTTCTCTCCCCAAGGTGATGGATGCGATCACGGGATACCGCATCTCGTACAGCCGCTTCCGCCAAGGGTTCCACAGAGGCGCCAAGGGCGAAATTAGCGCCGTGACACATTTCATGACCGCTGCCCACGCGAAATTCATGCCCGTGTGAGTTTGAAGATTTTGCATTTTTAAGTAACACAACAGACGTTATTCGACAGATGATTCTGGCCTTCACGTCCCTCGTGCCTATATACAGCAACCGCGCACGTGATGGTGTGCAACACATAATGGTTGCATGGAACAGCAACAGCCGGTCCACCACGTGACTTGCGGCCGGAGTCACGCAATGTCATGTCACGCAAATCTCTGATTGGTATATCTTTTAATATTCATGTGCAACATGCAACATGTCAGAAGCACGTCGCCGTGCCGAGGTCACGCAGAAGACGAACCTTGATTTAATTTATTAGATAGGAGTCTCGTGCGTTAGGTTCTGCTGTAACACGTAGCAATCTAACATTGGCTCTTAGAGCTTCTTTCTGCACGTTGGATGGTACAGTTTACGCACCTCGCTCCCCTCCGCGGCACTCCCTAGAGTGTAGGTTGCCGTTGAGTGTTTTTCTTCCATGAAGCACACAGGTATTTGGAGGGAAAGACCTGGTCGACATGTATCGTACCCCCCAAAGTTTGCATGCTCCGCAGTGAATATTGATGCACGCATCTATCGCGGGCGTTGTATCTGCCCACCGGAGGTTGTGTTTGTCTTGGTCGTTAGTCTCCCCCCTCCCTGGAGTTCCTAACAAATAGGATGAGAAAGAATGACAATGACTGGCCAGATTCCGCGCACCCCAGATACTGCAGACTCTCGCTGCTGTGACGTTGCTGTGCGTACTTTTTTTTTAAGAAAGTATTCATAACCTCACAGAAAGACCACCCGTTCGAGATAATACCATAGTCGAAGGGGATGTGTTGTTCTGGTCTTGGGATGCTGTGTTTGGAGACTGAGTTTTGATGCAAATTGCGTCTTTCCGCCAAACGGAATAGCATCCAAAACGCCAGAAAAGCTATGGCCTGCTGTACGTGCCGTTGGCGTTTCAGAATGATTGCGAAGGGATTCAATGGATCCTCGTGTCATCGTTTTGCACACTCGCGCAATACATGTCGTACTCATAGCAAAGGAACATCATATCATTTTCGCGGTGGCTAATGGTCTATCATAGAATTGTAATCGTTTGCGTTCGGTTTGGATCTTTGTTGGTGGTTCTGCTCTGTTTTGAAGGGGTCAACGCGCAAACCTGATCCGCACCACCGCGGAGGCCAAGGCTGCCGGGGATATCGACACCCCAGTCACGAAGCTGCACGTGCACTTCGGATGCGGACGACTCGGCATGGGCCTGCTCTCCCCCGCCATGGCAAAGTCCGGACGTCCTGTGATCCTGATCGACGGCCCTTTCGGAGACTACGAGACGCTCGTCAAGGAGGGACACAAGACTGTCAACTTCTACGTCAACGGCGAGGTGAGTTACATGTAAATGTAATCATAAGAGAGGAGGAGGCGCGGGCTGCCAAGTGAACTGCCAAGCTCCGATGGGTGCCATGGACGTTGTGTCAGTCTGCGGTTAGACCAGCAGCACGTCATACCGTACTCGTTGACCGCATTACAAACTGCTGGATCTTCCTTTGCAACCCGTCAGTGCGGGCGGAACAGGCCATGTTCCGGTGTTGGGGCGTTGGGGCTCAGTAAATTGGCTGTACACCCTCTCACCTTTATTATGGATGACCAGCATACGAAGAAGGGTTCTGACCCTCCAGAAGGATTACACCGTTAGACACCGGCTGGACGCGGTGTTCCTTCCCATTACGCCAACCTCCTTCTGCCCGGAATTGGCTTGCTATGCTTGCTTGCGCGTTGTGTCGCACACAGCCGACGCTGACGGATGTGACCTTGATCACGAGCGAAGCGGACCTGCCCGACGACCTGTACAAGTCGGGGCTGAAGCTGTTCATCTGCTCGACTGACCCCGCCCTGCAGAGAAAGGCCGTGGACGCCTGTGACACTCTCACCACTTCACTTGGACCTGTGAGATGTAGATGATCAGGAGGCAGTACAGACGTGCCCCAGGTAGTAGATGGATGCACCCCTTCCTAGGCGTTCTCACCGTATCTGTTGGGGACGAATCGAAGCGAGTGTTCACGTACAGGCCTCACGTGACCCGCGGAAAGGCCGTAGTCGGCGTTGGAGGGATGAATTTGTTTCGACCACTGGTCAAAGACCACAGGAATCGTGTCAATTGTTGGGAGTGCACCCCTCCCAAGGGAACATGATGCACACGACGTTTCGCGCTCGACGCTTGCGGCGGCAAGCTTTGAACTGTCAAATGTTGCAGTGGGAGCAACGGGGCGAACGACTTTGCATCTGTACGTGTGTTCCCTTCTACCTTGCATGACCGATTTGTGGACGCGCATGTTGCAGGTGATGCACAAGGTGGTCATGCCTCACTTCGACGTGGACAAGAGCCCCGGCGACCGCACCTACATCTACGGCTGCGAAAATGACCACGGGTACGCACACGGCATACGGCTAGTAGTTGCTCGGTGCATGCGGTGTATAGGTCGTACTGTGCAATAGGCCAGCGTTGTTGTCTCGCCTTTAAAGCCGCTCACGGCCAAAGTTTATTTCGGTCGGGCGCTCCAACGCATGTACCGTTGATTATCTTGTGTTTGGCAAAACTTCTTAAGCTTGATTATTCAGAGAACCATTAGACAAGCATATCAGGAGACTGCCCACCCTTCTATGATTTATCGCTCGTCCCGTTCTGGGACTGTCATGAACCTTCAGTTATTGCTGTTCGTTGGTGGTATGTACACTGCTGTTCTTCAATCAGGATGGTGGAAGAGCTGGGGGAGAAGCTGAAGGGCAAGGCCGAAGTTGTCACGTGCATGGTGCGCCGAAACACGGGTGGAAGTTTCGGGAGGATGTTAGGTTCTTGCCGCAGCAGCAGATCGCCGTTTGCGCTGGTGGCACAGCGGTAGTCAGCCACGGGGAGAATTGGACGTATTCACGCGGTCCTCCGCATTGCTTATGTGTGCCTCATCAGTTTTGGATCTCAACAAGCAGCGGTGTTGTTGTTTCGACCGTCGAAATCCTGCTGTTCCTGTCCATTCAAGGCTCAACCTTCTATCGCCTATCGGCGATGACAGCAAGCGCGTACTGTTGTACAGCAATTTTCCCTCGTTTCTCAGCGGACGCTACACAGTTTGAACGCAAACCACCACGGTAGCCAACCGATGCGTGTTATAATGGGATTGAGGGTCATGGTGGCTAGAATACAACACTGCTGACTTTCGGATTGCCCACTATTTGTTATGTTTGAAGGTGGATCGAATCTGCACTGGGCGTGAGGTGACCGGCAATGACATCAAGGTCTCCGCTGAGCCGCACCTGGGAGAGGTGAGACTGAGACTGACTGCTCTAGCTTGTGCTACACACTCGCTGTAGAGACGCAGAGAGACTCGCCACGCAAGCACCTGGGGCCTCAAGCCGAATGAGTATCGTCAGACCTGGCGGGAAAGCGATTTTGTCCACCCTCAAGGTAATGCTCTTAAAAGAGTGCATCCTGTCATATGCATAGGTCACTTGAAGTCATCGGTGCTTCCTTGCGACTAGTGTGGTATCCTGTGTGACCCGTCCGCCCCCGCACATGTTACAAGCTGATTCAGGGAAATGGATACCAAAAGATTCAACAGCAAAACTTCACGCCATTTTTAGGAGTTAAACCGTGAAACCTTGCACACATGTACCTTGGGTCAATACGAGACGCTGTGAGGAGGATCCTTTTTTTTTTTCCTGTCGCCGGATATCCGGGGTGGAGATTTCGGGGTTGTGTGCGGCTCCTGGGACCCCGAATAACCGGCGACCATCAAAGAAAATGAAAGAGGCCCCGCCGCACAGCGTTTCTTACGAACCCAATGTACATGTGTGCAAAGTTTCAACGTCTTTCTCCTAAAAACGGCGTGAAGTTTTCAGCTTTTGTGCCATGAAGTTTTGCTCAACGCGATTTTCCTCACTTCTTGACACTAGTACAGAATCCAATCCGCTTGGCCGCTTGTTCACTGTAAAGCCGCGTGTTGCGCCAGTTTTACAAGTGTTACTACAAAACTTCCTGGAAAGGTTCATTGAAGTATCCCGGGGCGAGAAAAAATAAAGTGGAATTCATGTATTTGTAACCGGCCTTTGGGGGTTCCATACAGGGGACCCCAATGCGCCGGACAGGAGTGCAAACATCGCCTCATTTTTTTTACGGTTTGCGGAATCATGTTGCACCATGCTATCAAAATCTGAGGACTAGATTCTCTGTGTGCGTTGTTTCCCATATGCACATTTCCATGGAAAATTGACGACGCCAAATCGCGGCAGTCGAACCACCATTTTGGCATCACTCGCTTTCCACAAGGACCGTGTTCGTTTTTTTTATTCTATTTTGGGTCCCTAGAGCATGGTAATTGGTTTGTTGCAAAACTGCGGTGGAAAGAAGTGGGAAGTGCGGGTTTGCACGCATTATTAGTTCTATATCATTTTGAAACTTATGATTGGCTAAGACACATTATTGCCCATTGAATCGTGGCCACGGCTCTGATTGAAATTCCGGCCACGACGATTTGTTCCCTTGCTCATGGGGGTCACTATGATACAACATGTGTCAGATTTGTGTACATCCTTCGTCTGGCAGCTGTGGTTGAATAAGTTTGGGTTCATTTCCGTGAACCAGCTTATAATGCTTGCTCCATAAAAAATATATTTTGTTGTTTTCCCCTCGACCCTTGGGAACTTCCCTGGCGTGCTTTATTCGTTTATTTTTTGTGAGCGCCTTCTATAGCCACTCCCAGGAAGTCCAATGCACGCATGCCACCCAACGTTGTGGCGGCCGTTGTGTTTGTGTTTCGCGTTGAAAACCTTTTCCATCCGCTTCACAATCGCGCACGTCCTCCTGGTACGGCTGTACTGCTCCTGACACAGACACGAGCTCCGTGGTCGCAGATGTGGCGGTGTGAACAAAGCGAAATTGCCGTTTGTTACCACTGGGTTTGCTAGACTCCCGAAGCATGAAAGGAAAATCTTGTGCGTTCCCTCCGACTGAGAAAACCGCTGACGTCAAACAACCCTAATCAGTGTGGGAGGTGATGTGATGTGATGCCAACGGAAGTGAGCGTAATTTCCTCCCCCAGGGCGAACGGCGCAAGCTTCCTCAGTCGCTCTTCTCGTGCCTCTCAACTGCTGTAGATGAGACGTTCTTTTTTCACGCAGCAATGTCTTGGCGCCCCACGCAGCATTGGCAGAGGGCAAGTATGGGACGTGGTGGATGACACGTTTTTCGCGCTCTCGACACTTTTCGTAATTGGAACAATCGAACAAACAGGTCGTGATCCTGCAACCCCCTGTGGCAGCACCCCTTCCAGCCTTCGCCGGAGATAATGTGATGGTCCCGATGACCTACGGAGAGGCCAACTACTTCTGTCGGAGGAAGATCACCATGGTCAACGGTAAGTGCTGCTTGTGTTGTTGCTGAAGCTCGTGCTAAACCAAGCGTCGCTCGAAGTATTTTCAGCTTTTCTAAGTCGAAAGGTGGTGGTCTTATTGACGTAAATGTACATATCGTACATGTCATGTTGCGGGTCTCTCGGTTGGTTTCCTAATACGCAAGGATTGGCCACACTCGCCTCATTCTCGTCACCCCTACCGCATCACGCATCACACGACCGCGTTGATCCCCGCCAAGTGTTTTGCTGCTCATGTCGCTGGTGGTGTTATCGCTTGGTAGTTGACACGAGGCATGTTGCCCCTAGTTCTAGCAATGCGAGGCGCTGTTTCGGGGCTGAAACGTCTTCTCTCTGTCTCTCTCTCCCCCCCCCCCCCCCCCCCCCCCCCCCCCCCCCCCCCCCCCCCCCC